AAAGACAACAAGGCACACAGAAAAGACAAAGAACACAGCCAATCAGACCGAAGTCATTACAATAGTCCAAAAGACATTATAATTCCACATTATTGTGAAAGTTGTTTGTGATCTTGTAGGCATTCAAAGTGAAAAACGCTTTCAGCGCAAACATGAAGTCTCCGCAGCATGATTCAAACTGTGAACTCACTTTGACAGATTCTTAGTAAGGAACCGAATCAAAAGATTCATTATCATTCATTCAACACCACACCTTTCTCCACATCAAATGAGTCAGGACCAAATCCCGGATAAGTCATCCCTCACACATTTTCCCATTATCCCTAAGCTTACAGGGATGTGCAGAGTGTACAAATGCACTTGGAAATAATAACATCATTGAAAATGGGGCGAGGATAAGGAGGGGCTTTTACATTCGCTCTATTCTGACTAATCTACCGTATTTAAACAAACAAGAGACCTTGACAGATGATTTACAATGATTATTGGAGGACTTCAAAGTTTTGGTGCACATTGTTATTTCTTTACTGAGCCCAATGTATCTGATAAAACCATACTCATATATGCACAAGAACACACACTAACTCAGACTAAATATGAAGTAGTACACAGGAGATAAACACACACTCACACTCAAAACAAACAAGCACACTTTGTTTAAACGTGCCCTTAAGACACAATAACTGAACGAAAACAGGATGTGAGTCACCACCAATAGCTGAGGTTTTCTCGGCAAAACCCGCTCACCAAATGTAAATCACTTGCACTGAGAGGTGACCAATCACTCTCAAATGCCTGGGTGTAATCCTGAACAGCTCATGGGAAGTCTGTTTGGAGTGATTTAGACTGAGTCAGTGAATGGAATCAGTCCCAGACTCCAGGGCTAGATGTGTCTAAGCACTTCCTGTGGTCTTAATCCCCTCGGATGGGACCAATCGCCCTGTCAATCGTACTGGTTTGTCAGCTGTTACATGACACTTCCTACATTCAGTCACACTGAGTGAAAGACATGTCTGTTGTTTAAATAAAAACCAGAGTTGAGCACGTTTGGGCTTGTATGTGGAGTATACACACGCGGACAGGGAGGATCTCGAGCTGATCTGATCAGAGATCTCCTTGCTTTGCGTCAAAGCCCTGTTGGGACAGGAGTAGTGGGGTAATGTAATAATTACAGAGTTTCTCTATGATTTCAATCCCAACCAATTCAGCCTCGTCAGTAATCTTCCCATGTCGGTAAAGATTATACGGTCCTTCTAAAACGCCCTGAGAAGAGGAGACACCAGAAAATGAACGACAAGATGTTTTAAGAATTATTTCTTCCTCATTTTTCTGAGGTGTTTTGTGCAGTCATTCAATACTTTCTTTAAAAATTGCCCATATTTTGCTTGATTTTCCCCTAACAATCCGCTCATATTTAATATTTCACGCATAATTAATTTTCAGCTAAACATATTTTGTTTGTCTGCAATGTGTAGATACACTATAGGCACTCCTATCTGTCATTTCAACAGACATCCCGCCCCATAACTGAGTGATAATAAACATTACACACATACAAAATAACAATTACTTTACAGACATTGATCAAAAATCTAATCCTAGATTTCTCATTCACATCAAATAACATTCACATCAGCCAAGTTCAGAATTTGATAATGTGAATATTATATGTATGAGAGAGAGAGTTAGGGAGGAAAAGAGGAACTGAATTGCATTAACAAGTGAATTGGATGGACTTTCCATTTTATACCCACTTCAAAAAGCTTTGCACGCTTGTTCACACAATTCCTCGGGCTTGCAGTTAATTAACAACAAAATAAGCCAGCGGTTCACAATAAAAGCAGAAGCCTCATGAAAAAGATGAAAAGGGAAAACAAAAACACTTGCTGTGTTTTAAGCACAAAAAAGTGAGGTCAAGAATACAAACTTGCACAAACCACAAAAATGACTCATTTGAGAAAAAAAGAGAACGGAGTAAAGCTACAGGTCATTAATGAAAATAAGCTTCAAGTCACCTTAGGGAACAATACACACACATATGTATATATATTTCATCTAATAAGGGAGAATACAACTAAAAAATAAAATAGTAAATAAGATCGACATTATCATATTTATAAAAAATTTAAAACAGCATGCACTGTAAAAAATTTTTTTCAAGATTTGTTATCACAACATTTTTTCTTTTGTCATATCAACTTAAATAATTTATTTAAGTGTAAATGTTATTTTGAGTTTCAGATGATTAAATCAATCACCTTCATTGTATCAACTCTAGTTCATTTTTCTAGTTCATGAACTTAAAATTTGAAGGCAACCAGGTTACTTACTTTTTTAAGTTAAACTAACAATGTTTTTTTTTTTACAGTGTATGGCTATAAAATAATCTAAAATGCTGCACATGGACTTGAATGGGTTAATGAACTTTCCAATGGATTCACCTACATTCACACTACAAAAGTTATTAGTGTTGCTATAGCATACTTTAAGTATACTACTATAAGGTCTGGTTTCACAGACAGGGCTTAGATTAAGACCTTAGTTCAATTAGGACATTTAAGTACTACCATAAGCACTACCATATTTTAAGATATGTCCAAGTTGCTTTTCAGGTAAAACAGCTCAAACATGCGTATCTGGGGGTAAGTTTCTTGATCCTTAATACTAACTTTGAGAACATCCCAAAACTGATATTCTCATTGTCCTGGAGATGAATTGTGGGAGAGTGCAGGGAAGGAGGAAAAGGAAAAGAAGTGTGTATCACTCACAGCAGTCTCACAAAGAGCTTCCCCGCCTCCCCATACCCAAACCATTGTGTTTAGTGAACTCAAGCAGAGAGGCCAAAAGATGCTTTTGTGAAATATAATGGAGTGTGAGTGTGTGTTTTTGGGTGTTAAGTCACTCTTCCTTTACTTACTGACCTCATTCTCTTACTCTCTCGCTGCTTCTACATCCACGATGCGGGCAGAAACATGCTTTCCAAACACTAAGCACTTTGGAGGGCCGGAATGCTGCTGGGAATGTCGCTGACAGGAAAGCAGGAAGAAGGGTCCCTCCACCTTCAGATGCTGCAAAGGATGCCAGCATTTCTTCCTATCTTTTACATTCAAGCATAGCACACGCACATGACCTGAACCACTTTCTTCACAATGAGGGCTTGTGTCTGAGGTATGTGGGATTTGCTTCCTCTTCCTTATCTTCAAGAGGATCATGAGGTTGATGGATCTGCATGCCACCCAGAAGAA